CTTGTTATTATTGGCAAATAGTAGACATTGAAAGTAATATTTATAAAAAAAGTCAATTACATAACATTAATTTATTAAAATATTTTTTTTGTTGGAAATTTCTATCTAATAAATATTGATTTAATTAAATGAACTTTTATTCGAATGATTCTACTCAAGTTTTTTTCTAAAGAACGATAACAAAGTCTCGTCAAGCTGGTTTGTAAGTGGTTAAGCAAATACAGTTAATTAAATAGAAATAATTATTTCAATATTGAATCGTATCACAGGACTAATGATGCACCCTGTAACGTTTATTAAACAAATATTCTATATTTGTTCAACCTAGACATGCTGGAATATTTGTTGTAGTTAGAACTGTTCGTTGCTGGCAGGTGCAGCGAGTGGTCGTATTGTTACTGAAATTAAATTGATGAAGCACTGCAACGACAGATATTGATCATAACGGTCTCACTTTGGAATCGAGCCAGCTACCAGTCAAAACAAGGGATAAATAAAGGAGGAACGGTGCAGTCTTCCTTGCTTAGAACGCACAAGGACGGTGAACGTCATTGACGACTGATGAATCTCCCTCGATGAGTATCCGATAAAGGATAGGCGCGTGAATTATGCACCGTTCGAAATACGGAATACCGAGAAAATGATTTGATCGATGAGTACACCTAATATCATAACGAGTCAGGCGTTCAATATAAATATTGCTTTAGACCACTTAAAGGGCTACGCTTTTCCTTTCTGACCAGTTTCGAGACAATTTTTATGAATTTTTTGCGAGCAAAGTAGTTGATATACACTTGAAATTTGGTATGTTTATTATACATAATTGTGTATATACATATATTTGTTTCTTCAATATACTTCAACATACATATAAATCATTATATATTATATACAAGAAAGTTATGTTGAATTATATTGAAAATAAAATATATCGAACATATATACATGTATGTACAAAATTGAATTAAATTTTCAGTCAATTCATGTCGTTTTGTTTACATGTTAATACAACATACAAAACAATATACAATAAGTACAATAAGTACGAAAAAGGATTTAAAAACAAATTGTCAAAATGGCATTTGAATTCGTGACTTCGCCAATAAAAAAATCAATTTTTCAACCCCCAGAAAGAAAGAATTACCCCCTCGAAACGATAAAATAATTTCAATTCGATAAAAGAGGAGTCAGATCCACGGTTTCCTTGGTGAAATTCGATTACTATTCTCAGTTGCTATTGCAGCAGTAATCCGATAGGCGAGAGCTGAAAATCGAAGTGGTACGAGATCACAAAAGACACACGGAGTTTCATTCTATTCGATTATAGTATGTTCGTGCGAGCGTAGAAGTGAACGATGAAACAATACGCCTTAACGGTTCAGCTCAAGAGTTAAAAATTGATCAGACATTTCACCACCTGGCGTTCCATTTCATCAATTTAAATGACAATGGAGGAGTCGTGCGAGTGTTTGCTGTGCTTGTATTGATTTCATTTCCAAGCAGAAGCTCGTTATTTATCATTGATTGTCTAATTTATTGTTATCGCAGAATCTGTGTCTCCTATATACGACGTAATAAGTCAAATAAGACAACGACCGATAGGATTCACCGGTGATCCAGTGGGAAAAGTGATCGACTGATAACGTAGAAGTCCCGAGTTCGAATCCCTCGTGCTCGAATTTTTCAGTCTAACATTTTTTATCTAATTCGCGAGTGTAAAAATGACAGGAGCAATTGTTGAAGTTAATCGAAGTGAGATTTGAGATAATTCGAGATTCTCACCTGGAATGATGTGACGGCGAGTTGACTGAGCCCGTCAACGTACGGCCCCAGGACATTGTGTTCCCTGACTTTGAGCGTGTGTTTGTTGGGCTTTGGATCCAGCAGGTCGTGCACCTTCTCGTTGTAGATCTCCATGTACGAGACTTCGACCTTGTAGCTGAGCTCCGAGCTCTGCTGCTTCGCTATCATGTCGAACAGATTGTCGCACAGCCGCGGTATGATGCCCTTGTTCTCGCCGCTTCCCATCATCGTGTACGACTTCCCGGACCCTGGAAAAATCAATCCAACGACCAGGTGATAACATCAAGGGAAAATAAATACAAGCAATATTTGGACTTTCGACGCTGTAACTGTTTGTGGAACGAATTCTGCTCTTAGTTATGTTGCCTCGGATACCGTACCACTGCATATATAAGAAAGGAAGATAATATAAAATTAGTGGTAAAAAGAATGTTTAAAAAATGTAAAATAAACACAGAGAATAAAAGAAGGATAAAGGTAATAATTAAAGGAGCGTCGGTTGGCCTCGAGCGTCAAGTGGAAGGTAAATAAACGAGACAGCCCTTTCGCAGGCCTCTCTGTCCGCCCCCGCTGGCATTTTTCGCAACGCTTGTTTCCTCTGATAAGGGAAGCGCGTCGCGTTCCGTCCCAGCTACCCTAACGCCTCGAATAACGCAATTAGAGAGGTCAACGCCGATAAACGTCCACGGTTGAGCTCGCAAACGAGACATTGACCCAAGGCGACGCGACGACGAGCGTCGCTTCGCGGCGAACGACGATTCCCGTGTCACAACTCTCCCGGGACGGTTTCATCGTCGAACGTGGCAACAAAAAGGAAAGGGTGACAAAAAAATCAGATTATGCACTTCTAAAGGCTCCTCGCATCTTCTCCGTGCACTTAGGTGCTCGCTTGCCTTCGACGAATCGGATTTTAACCTCTCCTTTCGTCATCCTCTCAAGTACTTAGGCTCTGGGGATGTCTCGTCGAGGAAATTGTGGATAAGAAAGCCGAAGCCTGTTAAAGGGTCGGAGGTACAACAACTTGGTAATGACAAAGGTTAAGGTTTCGGATATCGTTTGTCATAGATCTTGATATTCTCGTGCTTTTCTCTTTGTTCGGATTGATATCAAATTGCCTTTGAATTTTTTTTTGAAAATGGACACGAACTTCCTAGACAACCCAATAGATACGGGTGATGTGACAATCTATGTGTTAAGTTTTCGTTTAAATTTCGTGAAGTCAGTTCGATTCTAGACGTGGTGATAATAACACCAGTTTACAGCCAAAATGTACATTCAATGGCACAATTTTTTTCTTATGTATTTTGGCCTGATAAACTCGAAAATCGCAATGAAAGATTTTTCTATGGATAGGTTTTTTTAAAATGAATTTTTGAATTTTTTTTTTTGAGATGCCTTTACATTTTAGGCCATATCTCGAGTTTGAATCGTCCGATTGGATCGCGCAAGATTCTATATTAAAGGTAATCGAATTTCCAACATTTGCTTCGCATATTGTTTTCCAATCGGTTCAACAGTTTAAGTGTTACGGGCCAACATATATGGCAAACGTCAATTTTTTCGGCTACAATAAAACACAAAAATTTCTTCCATTACCATGCAAAAATAGAAACTGTCAAATTATGTTCAGTTTCTTATTGTTTACGTATAGATCGTAGTTTTACAAAGGAAACAAGCTTTTGTTGAAGAAAATCTATGGATAAATACCGGAGTTAGGAACAATTGTGTAAAGGTACAAAAATTCCAATTTTACTTTGTTTTTGTATTTTTCTCCTATTTATATAGGAAACGTTTATTTAATTCATTTCTATTAGAAATACGATTAGAAATAATTGTGGACTTTGCTTTGTCTTCTGTTCTTCTTTGGGTCCGTTTCTCTGATGAGGAACCAAATGTTCTTTCATCCCAATATCCTTGATAGAGCTGCTCAATAGTTTTGATACCTTGGTGAAACCTATCACCGTGCTCGTCACAAGTGAGAATGTAAAAAATGAATTGTGAGCGACATATACGCCTGTCGAAATTAAAATTGAAATTAAATGTAAAAATGTTTTCATTTTGCCAAATCAAATAGAATAACAATATATAATATTCCATACCCATTTTTGCATAATTTGTCAGCAAATCTTCAACAACTTTCTTATTATAAAAAAGCACGGTGAAAGGTTTCACTAAGATATCAAAAATTCATATAAAAAAAAAACCTATCCATATAATAATGTTCCATTTTCGAGTTTATCAGGCTAAAATACATAAGAAAAAAATTGTGACATTGAATGTACATTTTTTTTTATTTTGTAAACTAGTTTAATGATCCCTCTAATGGTCCAGGGTGGTCCAAAGCGACTTGCTTACGTCGATTAATTTCTAAGGTATACATTCCATGGCGAAACTTTGTTCCATTAAAAGTAACGGAGTTTATTGACCTTGGAATCTCTATAATATCTTCGCCTATAAAGGGACCATACACACCGCGTAATATTTCCCTTGGAATCATGCAACTTTTCTATAAAAAGTTTCTCAAGTTCAACTTTCAAGTTTCTTTCTTCGACGAGTAGCAGCTCACACAATCGATCATAACAACGTGGAACATTTAAACGTTCTTGAACGCTTCTTCTCGACATTAAAAATGTATAAAAAGTGACAATCGAACAGAAGACAATCTCGTGCTCTCTGAATAATGTTAATCCTGTCTGCAGGATAGAATTAAAAAGCGCAACAATGCCCAGCACCGAAGTGACAAATCCGTAATCCGACACGCTATTACGATGCAGATGAAACGAGACTCTGATCGAAGTACGTAGACGCGTTCCGCGTGAAGGGAGTTTAATCAGCTGCGAAGTGCGTGGGTGTGGCTACCCGGAAGGTCGCCATGCCAAGGCCAAAATGTTAGATTCTTGCAAAACTAGCGCGATGAAACACGAATCTCGTAAAAGCGTCGTCAGGGTTTATTCAAGGATTTTCATTTATTACTGTTTTTTATTCTATTCTGCGGTGATTCGAATTCTTTGTAACATTTTTATTCTAGTCTATGGACATTTAAATTCTTCAGAGCCATTTTTTTTCTTGTCTATGGGAATTCAAATTCTTTTATTCTTCTCTGTGAGAATTCAATTATAATATAATTAAAAATAATTTTAAGACTTCATAAACCTCTCTTTCAACCACTGACAATTGAATCGTTACTATTTCTACAGCAAAATGCACCTACCGGTTTGGCCATAGGCGAAAATGCAGGCGTTGTAACCCTGAAACGCATTGTCCAAAATATCGCGTCCCAGGGCGTCGAACACCACCTCTTGACTCGCGAAATTGTCTGCAGCCGGGTCCAGGGAGTGGAAACAGTGGTCGAACGCGAATGTTTTTGGTTTGTTCCTGCAACAAAGGTAACACGAAAATTATTATCCAATTCTAATGAAAGGATTGCGTTAAATTAATATTAGCGCATTTGGAAGCAATCCACGAGCACCTATTAAAATTCTCTATTAACCCTTTGCACTCGAGAGGTGACTCTCAGTCACCATTAAGTTTCACACAACAAATCTACAATACCTAATGTTTCTTTAGGTTTCATTTCTTCGGAACTCGAAGTGTCAATAAAATAATTCTTGGAGAGGTAAAGGTGACTTTATTCTCAAATCTAGATAGCTTAGAATTCATGGCAATAGAATGTTAAGAAACATCTCGAGTTGCTAATAGATACCAGAGAAAAAGGCCTCGAGTGCAAAGGGTTAATACCAATCAACGACAATATTTTTAACATACAAAAAAATATATATATACATGTCGAATTGAGTAACCTCCTTCTTTTTCGAAGTCGGTTAAAAATTATAGGGGGACACCTCAGTGTCATATCTTCCACAATAACAATTGCATTCATTCATCTTTCTTCACATATTTATTTCTTCGAATTTTTTAATAAATCTATAATTATATTATTCTTTATAAGAGAATACACCTTTAAAAGAAATGTGAAGAAGGATAAATGGGAATGCAATTGTTACTTCTTTTTTTAATGAATATGTAATTACTGCGAGTCACAGCATCACCGTTCGTTCGCGTTTCTCGCCTATCGCAACCCCCAGGAGCGTTCACGGGAAACAATAACATTATATGAATAATTACAAGTATATCCTGACAAGTTTCGTTGATCCATAGGCTCTCCTGGGACGTCGATATCGGAAAAACTCCAAGCATTGACCGTACAGAAGTTCGATTCGCAACCCTTTGTCGCGTTAAAAGCATTCTCGATATTAAATTCAGATGCTTTTTCTCGAGGGGATGAAACGCGGTGCCGGGGATGTCGTATACGAAACGCATTACTAGAGAATCAATTCGTACATTCAGATGACGTTTGAATAATTATCGACAATGAAATGAAATCAATTTATCGTTAACTGGGTAGGACGTACTTCGAAAGAAATCTAACACATGAATATTTTACCTGGAAAGATTTTAGTATTTCTGTGCTCTTCTAGGTATGAATTCAGCCATCTTATGTGATTAATGCACAAATTATACCTAGTGACAATCTACAAACATTCTCCAGTTTTGTTTTTCTGTGGATTTTAGTATTTAAATGTCGGAAACACGTGATGCAGTTGTGCAAAATTCAATATTAATACTATTACGACAAAGGTAAATTCTTTCTACGATACACTAATTTTTGAAATATATTTGCCATGTATTTTACAACATTAAATATTGATATTGTTACACGAAAGATCGATACTTTCTATATTGTAATGCGAAGTATATTATGCATATATTTTTGCACAAATGAACCATGCGAGGTCACCCACTCGGTTTACGAATGATTTCTGCGACTCGCTACAAGGAGAGAGGGGGGAATGGGTTAACGAAAACAGGATGCGAGTTTATCTCCGCGTTCGCTCGTGTTATTATCGGAGATGCTGGTTCAGCTATGGAGGAAACACGTATGCCCGTTCGCTGGGAATGAAAGCGATTTCCTCTTGTCCTGGATATCAGAGCCACGACCCTGTCTCAAACGTCAAAAGAGTCGGACTCGTTTCGAAACGATCGGGCGTGTTATACGCATCGGCCCGCTATTGATTTCCCGTCGCATTTTCTCCCCGAGTAATCAGTTTCCATCGGGTTTTCCATCCCCCCAGGAGATGGGGCGATAGAACTGAAAAACTGGAGCGCTTAGTCCGCGGCAACGCCAAATCATTGCGTTACCATGACTTAAAACCACCCTGAAAACACTCATTTCGCCAGTTATCGCGACGACAATTGTGAAATAATTTCTCAGCTTGCGAGGGAAGCTTCGAAAAACAATTTGAAATATTTTACGCATCTCCTGTTATTGAATTCGTGTAATAATCGTGGAATTGTTAACACTCGTTATGATATCGATCGTAAAATAATTTTTTAATTTACAGAGGAAGTTTTCAAAAATAGTTTAGATAATTTGATGCCTTTTCTGTCTTTGTTTTCCTACGAAAATTGTGGGGGAACCTCTGCAATCCCTTTATTTTAACCAGTCATCATTACGTCAATTGTAAAATAATTTGGAATGTTTTATGTCCTTACTGTTTTTAAATTCATGCAATAATCGTAGATACACACCCTTCTGAACTCCCATTTTGATCTCAATTCATTGTGATGCCAATTGTAATATATAATTTCTTAGTTTGCAAAAGAAATTTTAAGAAATAGTTTGGAATATTTAATGCCTTTTATATTTTTATTATCAATTGTAAAGTAATCTCCCAACTTGTAGAGGAAAGCTTTAAAAAAATAGTTTGGAATATTGTCTGCACTTTTTATTTTTAAATTCATACAAAAATCGTGGGAGCTCGTCCTCGCCTAAATGAATTTCAGTTGGAACGTAAAAGCCTAGATTCCCATTCAAATGAAAACCGCAAAACGTGGTTGCTTTCGATATGGATAGAAACGCCATGGTTTCATTGATTTGTTCGATTAAAATACAAATTTGAATGCGGTTTTTAAAATACGAGTGATCGATCAAAACATTCAAGCAAGCTATCTGGAGCAACCATTAAAACATTTCAATTCATTCTTTATTGTTTAATATATCCATAACAAATCCCAACAAACAGATTTTCCAAGTTAATTCAATTATTCTTAACAAAGTTATTCTTCAAAAATATTGTGGAATATTTCTACAGTTTCCATACGTCCAAGATAGCTTCTGTCCTTAAGTTTTACTTGTTCTGTATCCGTGGAAACATGAATTTGCATACAAACACCCACCCACAGTTCGTTCGTAACAAATCCTTCCAGGGTTAAAAATGTTCAAGGATATCGTGTAAACTCCGAAAGCAACGATGAAAAACAGATTAAATCCTGAGCACAAGGATTCGACGCGTATCGATAAAAGCTCAGCCGTATTTAAACCTGTCCAACCCTCGACTCTTCCATAAAAATTGCAAGAAAGTTCGGAAAAGCTCGACCGGGTGATCGACTAAACGCGTTAAAAGCGATCCCCAAGGGCGAGTTTGCGAGATTCCTCTCGAGCTGCGAGACGTTGTTGCCTGGAGATGTGATTCCACGTTGGGATAAACGCGGAGGGGTGCGAGACAGATCGATTTCTCCAAACAGGGAGCTAGAATTCGTTCCTGGCGAGACGGGAATAATTCTCTGGTTCTGGAGAAGACTACAGGCCAGGAAAATAATGCACAACTTTTCAAAATACGAGATATATTGATGAACAAAGCTAATTTCAATTTAACAACTAGTGATCCACTTGTTACAAATATGCAAATGTGCATTTTGCAGGTACGTCATTTCCTGCAACTTCCTTGAATACAATTAATTATTTTCACTCTCTCATAAATAAATCCTTTTAACCCAAAACGTACCAGGAAAATCGATCACAAAAAGTCATTTTCAAACCTCCCTCGCCAATAACAAATCAAACCTCAATACAACTTCCATCTTATCACTTGCATTTTGCACGAACATGAGATTTCCCCCAAAGGAATCAATTATTTTCAACTCCTCCTCCCCTTTGCCGCCCTTACGAATGAATTCTAGCTAGCAGGAAAAGTTAGCGAAACTAAAAAGTTGAAGGGGGCATCGGTATTCGCCTAACAGGCGAAACTGGCCGTCTACGCGGCGCGATAAAACTTTTTCGATCGAATCGCGAACGTGCCAAGAGACTGTCTCGCAGAGTTTGCCAAAATTACCCCGAGAATGGTGGGTTCGACTGCTCGGCACCGTGCGACGCTCTAACGGCGCTTTAAATCGGGACAACAACAGGGAAGTGGGACGATTTGCATAATTACGACGATTAGACCGGCGATAGAAAACTTTTGGGAAGAGTAACGCAGGCGTAAAGGATTCGAAGGGATTGGAGGTGGGAGACTTAAAGGACCGCGCGATGGGGGTTGTTTGGGAGATTTGTGGGAGCACACGGCACACTTTGGGGCGGACCGCGAGCTTTGGAAGCTCGATCGAATCGCGTTTTATTTGGTAATATTTGATGCAGCTAGGAGCACCCTCAGGGGCTGTAGTTGTGCTTGTTCAAGAAGCACAGCTGCAGTACGAGTTTGGCGAACCCGAGGTATCCGAGCTATTTAACGTACCTAATAATAGGGAAGAAAATATAAATATAGGGGGTGAGAAAAAGTAGAGTGATGACTAGAGTTTTTTAGGGGTAGAAATTAATTATGTGTCCTTCTATAGTAAACTTTCTAAGCATTTGTTTATAAAGAAAAATCATCAACCCTTTAATCTTTCCTCAAACTATTAATTTTGAAGGTTAATTCGTTAACAAAATGACATATAAGTATATCCTTTAAACTAGAATTGTAAATGTTCGAATATAAAATCACAGAATCAATTCCTACATCTAATAAACGTGTTTTCCTAGGGATAAACTATGGCAAATCTATGATAAAATTATGCTACATGGCCAGAACGCTGTTAAAATATAAATTAAACAACCAATACACGATAGGGATCTCATTTTCGAATTCAGTTTGGTGGTTGAACATTAAGGTGCACCTCGCAGTAGATTGAGACTTCATAGCCAGACCGTAGGAGACGCACCTTAGGTGGTCGAAAAATAGTCGGTCTGCAAGAATTTTGTTGTTGTCAAAGTGGATATCAAAGCAGGACCAATTGCATAATATTAAACAATGCTAAAACCACTTATTTGTATCAGTGGAAATTTCTTTTTAATAAATATTGAAATATCGGTTTTACCTATACGCCGTAAAGAATAGTGTAACAAAGTTTCACCGAGCTACAATGTTTCGTAAATGGTGGAAACCACCAGAAATATTATAAACAAAAATGAAGCCACATAATTTGAACACTGTTAATAAACAAACCAAACACCTTTAGGCACCGAATAGCCAAACAACAATGCAGCGAAATAATCACAAATTATTCATGC